GCAAGTCCTACATCAGGGTATATCCTTACATCAAATTGGGATAAGAAGAAGAGAGAATGAGAAAAGCTTGAAAGGATCCTATCATCTTTTCTCACTCTACAGTTTTTTATATGTTGACAGCTTCTGGGCTGGCTTTAATGTTAAAGAAGTATTTGGAACTCTTCTTAACTCTTTCCTGCAGTATCATTTATATCTTCAAATTATTCTGTTACAGTTGAAAACATTTTTTGTTGTTATGGTTCTTTTTCTGTGCCAGTGTGGTTCACGGGATAACTGCCTCAAGTACTAAAGGAGTAAGGCTTGGTTTTGAATGGCAGGTGATGGAATTTTTCTTAGTTTAGTTAGATGATGGAAGTTTACCCCTCAAGGGCACTATGGAGGCTTTTTCTCCTCCTTTTCCTCATGAATGTAAAACTGAGGAGATGAGTCACAGGATGGACTCTGAATGTGGGAAGTAAACAGTGACATCCTCCTTTCATGGTTATTTCATTAAATTTTGAATGAGTCAGGGAGAGCACGAGGCGGGTGTTCATCTAGGCTCCTTAAATCCTCACACAACCCAAACTTAGCCTACTCATAGTGCTCAAATGATGTCTAAACTCGTGGTAGACTTCCACACTGTAATCATCCTCCTCATTTTCCTGCTGCCAGGATTAGGAGTCAGAGTTTCCCCAGCTGTAGCCAGGTTTTTCACCTGGAAAAACGTCTCATGGCTGAGGCCACTGCACAGCATCAGGTCTTACCCGTTGCCTGTGTGAGAGAAAGTGACCTACACAGCTGGCCCATAATTAATTACTCTCCTGTGGTTTATAAGTTCCAGAATAACTTTCCTTGTGTAGACACCCTATTCTGGGATACAGTGTGTTTTTATTCCAGGCTAATGCCTGCAATTCCAGAACAAAATAATTATTATGAATAGAGCCATTTTTATAGTGGAATAATGTACATGTGTAGTTTGATCTTTATGGTCTTCAGTAAAGGCTGGTGGGAAGGGCTGGTGATTTTTCTCCTATACAGACAAACCATTGATTGCCTCTATGAGTCATGGATAACATCATAGTACTTACTGGCACCACATTACTTGAAATTATTCCTCTTTTACAAAGAGGAGTGTCTGTATGATCTCGCTCTGCAATTCTGATGATGCTGCAGGAAAGATGAATTTTAACATTTTCACAGTTTTTCCACAGGTGCAGGATTGGCTTCTTGTTTGTTTTCAGAGAAAAAGGATATTGAAAAACTGGCAATTTTAAACACTTGTTGTTCCTTGCACCTCCAGCTTCAGAATTACTGAGGGCTTATGGAAGACTTGGCTCCTGTTAAGTAGTTTGCTAAGTAGAGAGAGAATTTAAATGTGAAATTTGGATTTGTGCTCCAACAGGAGCTACTATCCTTTTTAATAACAAAATGATGATTTTAGAAGACTTTCTTCTTACCACAGCTTAACATATATATTGTTTTTAATGCTGACCTGATGCTGCCACCACTGTCTTCTAGCAGGATACTTGTTTTGCTTCCTGTTAAAAAGTATGAAATCTAAGAAATGTAGCTTCAGTGAAATCTTGAGTTACGTGAATGGCAGGTTTTTACTGCACAGTGTGCCCTGCAGCTGTGGCTTTGTGTCTGCCTTAGTCCTGTGCTGCTTTTTGTGGCAGAAGTCCAGGGTCAAGTGAGATTAAAACCAAAAGCAATGGATAATTTCATGATTAAATAAAAAAAGAAAATATCAAGACATCAGAAAAAAAGCCTTGGTTGAGGTCTGAGCTGGTTAGGGTAAGGACCAGGAAAGGGCATCTCTTATGCCCAGCATCATATGCTTGGTTTTGTGTGTTGTGTCTTCCTCTCTCTCTGCTCCTGAGAAACATCAGAAGGGTGTTTTCTTTCTGTCTCTACTCTCGAACTTAGCAGGATGAGCTGGGCTATAAGCATATTGCCCAACTCTGGAGAGAAGAATTTTTGGCATAAAATTGCAGTGATGAGATTTTCAAAGCTGACCTGTTGCTCTAGGGGTCTGGGTATTTGGCTAATCTGAATGAATATCTTAACAGGGGCAAAGCACCTGCAGAAAGCCTTGCTGAAGTTCTCATTGAAGGAGCAGGTGATTGATTCATTGCATTGCTGCACACCAGAAAGCTGCAAATGTGTCCTGTTTCTGATCGTTGCTCTAAGGAGATTGATGCTGTGGTGCTGATGTGCTGAATTAAACAGGTGGGGTGTTGGCCTGCCATGGTATGAAGAATTTCTTTTTAGATGTTCCTACAGCGTCATAAAATGCTGCTAAATTCAGATATCATATTTTGTTGCAGGCTGGTTCTAGGACAAAGCCCAGCCCTGTCTACTGGTGTTTATGGCTTCCCATATAAGCTTTTGGACAAAATTTGTATCTCATTTTGCTTGAGTTACAGCAGGATGATATCCTAGTCCTCACACCAGTTCTGAGAAGAGGCACTGAATGCTGCCACTGTAGTGAAATGGAGGAAAGGGAAAAACATGCCTTTTAAACTTCCTGTAAATCATTTCTTGAGAGAGATAAAATATCTGCATAAAGTGTGTGTGGGAGTCCTATAATGTAAACACAAATGTATTTAAGCCTTGTCTTGTTTTTGGCTCCTCTTTAGGCGCAGGAACTATGTCATTATTTGTCTCCTCTGCAACCTGGTATGTCTTGAGAGAGGGCAGGTTTTAGCTCTTCCCCCAGAAATCAGAGTGTGCTCTTGCTGCTCTGTGTCCTTTGCTCATCTGTACGGCTGCACAATTTTTACAGCAAATGCAACTTCTCAAAAGTGTTACTTCGAAATCTAGTTCAATTTATTTACAATTAATCCAGGAAGGGGCTTGTCTGCATCTGACTTAGCAAAAAAACCAATACCCTCCCTCCCCTCGCTGCCTTGGCTTTCCCAGGAGTGAAGTTTGCTTTCAGCACCCGAGTTGTGCAATTGCACAAGCCACACTGTGTCAAGGTGCTCTGTAAACCTGGAGACTTCTGCTCTAGAACTGGTGTGCATCTTCTCTTTTCTCCTGCTATGAGCAGGATGAGGTTTGACCCACACTGTGTTTCCAGGTCTGTTTGTTACTCAGTGCTGAGGTAAAAGCATTGGGGGTCCCACAGAGCAGCACAGCAAGTGGTAGTGGGGCATTTCCTGATCCCTGCTGAACAGTGGTCACCAGGCTCTGCTTTTTGCCTCTGTCCCTGTTGCAGATAGCTGTGGGTTCCTTGCCTTGTGCAGAGGAAGGTGTGGGCTGGCCTGGTGTGTTGGGAGAGATGGGCTGATGTTTATGCATCAGTGCAAGGCAGAGGACAGCCAGGTGGGACGACTGCTTGGCAGCTGCTCTGCATCTGCATTTGCCAGTGGAGCTGAGAGGAAACCCTGATCTGATCCCCATGTGCAGTAGTGAGAGAGGAGGCTGTTTGATATTGTTTCCTGCTGAGAATTTTTTTTTGATACTTTTGTATATTTTTGCATATTTACTCACTCCTGCAAAGAATATTCCAATGGCTGAAGACAAATCTGGGCACAAGGAAATATACAGCAAAAGTAAAGGCAAAAGTATGGTGATGAAATGAGAAGCATTTAAACAAGTGTAGATAATATCAAACCATTGAAAAATAAATGACCAGAATTTCAACTGAGAACAAGAGTGGGGCAAAGTCAAATGGATGGGATTTGCCCTAGAATCCGTCTTTGATGAATGGGTAGGCTTTAAAAATACACAACCTGAAAAAAGGAGCTTAAATATTAGAGCTTTTATCTCTGCTAAATTGTGGCTGTGAGTATCTGAGTCATCTGGCTGGAACAGGTGTAATTGTTTGTGTGGTTGTCGTGTTGTGTATCTGCTCTGCCCAGTGCTGACAAACAGTGGAATCACAGCTAAGCTTCAGCGAGAGACAACGAGAGTTTTGACCTTAGGATCTGTCATTGTGCCTCTGTTATCTCTCTGCATTATGGAACTGCTTCATTTCAATTCATTGGGTTTCTGTTTATTTCCTCTGTGGCAGTCCCAGGAGCTTGGATTCACCGGCTTTTTGTTGGAGCATATGAATTGTTAGTTTGAAAGACCCACTGTTTCTAGTAGAATTGCAGCCCAGGTTGAATATATCTCACTATTAATTAGAGATTGGCCCGAACCAAAGACGTCTATTTGATCCCTCCCTCCCTCTGGAATCTTTTCTTTCCTGGGAAAAATTGCTCAGTGCTGGCTGGAGGATTGACTATTGTGTTTCAGAGAAAACTTTTGTGGTTTCCAAATGTGTTTCATTCTCCTCAGGAATTAAACAAAAAAATCCTTCTAAGCGTCTGCAAACCTTCTGTATGTAAAGGATTTCTCCTTCTCTCAAGTTCACTCTTGGCTATAAATCCATCCCAAAGAGACCCCTGTGAAACCCCATATATTTTAATGTGAAAAGTTTTGGTTTCGAGAGCACAAAGCTTTTATCAGTTTTCCACTGACCTCCAAACTGCTGACCTGGCAGAATGAATTGGGAGTGATGCAGATTTGCTACCCCCCATTGCATGGTGTGTTCGTGACATTAGGCTAAAGAAAACGTTCAGTTTTACTGCTTAAAATGTTGTTTTACTGCCTACTGATATTTAATGTCAGTTTTTAAGGCGTATTGAAACATGGGTGAGAAAAAGCTGAAAGTTTAATCTGATGATAAAAGAAAAAAACCTGAAGAAGTAAAAAGTTTTGGAACTTAGATTGGGATCTGGCCAATCAATCCCCTCCTTGTTATATCCAAAACTTGATTAATGGCTTTCAAGTATATATCAGACTGGGGAAGGTGGAAGAGGAGCTGTACAGCTGATGCAATGGGATGTTTTCAGCGTATGAGCTTTGAACTAAAGGTGTTATTCCGTGGTACCTGTGTCGGATTGTTTTGTAATTGTAGTGAGCAGTATTGATCTCTGGTAATACATTGCTTTTGAGAAAAACTGAGGGGCATGCTAAGCAAAGATTTGAGCTGTCTTTCTGTTTCCTTTTATCTTTGGCCTGCAGTGGTGGAGAGCCGAGGAGGGATCATGGACAGCGTACAGAGATTCTCAAACCTGCCAACGTATCTCCCCGCGAGCTCCCACATCTGCAATGCTGATGTTTTCTTCTTCCTCAAAGAAGCCAACCAGGATATCATGAGGAACTCCAGTTTGCAGTCTAGGGTGGATTCATTCTTTATATACAAAGCCAAACAGCCACCTGTCCTAAATGCCACGTATGGACCCTTTTCTGTTGAACAGCCTGTTCCCTTGGACCTCATGCTGACTTCTGCATCTTTTGGTTTCACAAATAAATTCACTTTTAATTGGAAATTAAAATCTCACATAATCAACAGCTCAATCTATTCCAATAAACCCAAAATACAAACCTTGTTCTATATTGCGGGGAAGGACTGGGATGACTACAGTTCTGAGGAGATGTTGCCTTGTGTGAAGATGTTTGCTTTCCTGGAGTCTAGAGAAGTTGTGGCCAGCTGCAGATTGGCAGGCCTTCTAGGATTATGTGTTGCAGAGCTGGAATTGTCTCCTAGCTGGTTCAGCTCCCCTCCACCCATGGTTTCAGAGGAAACAGCCTCTCTGGAAGGGATTACTGTGGAGCTCTTCTATAAGATTTATACAGTGGATGGGGAATGTTCTCCGGAGGATGAAAAGTGGGAGAACAATATCCATGCAGGTGAAGATAACGAACATCAAGCTTTGTCAGCTATGGAGAGGATTGGTAGCATCGTTGTTTACCCAAATCAAGACCAATTAAAACAGTCTTCACTAAGGCTCGATGAAAATATCGTTATTCGCTTACCACTGAACCCGGTCAGAGAAGGTGACATTGTGACCTTTCATGTTTGCCTGGCTGATGACTCACTAGCAGACCAGTTTGTATTAAGGTAAGAGAATTTTTAAAGTGCTGAATGCTAAGCAGTCTACAAATAGAGGCAAATCACTGTTGGGTGTAATTTCTTTGGTTATATTCAGTGTTTTCCTGAGAGAACTTTGGCATTTCCTCTCCAGCAGGGGAAAACTATAAATTCTCTATGTGGACGATACTTTTTGGAACATGGGCATTGATTTTAAAGTATGAGCTATAAATGTTTGCTTGATTATTTCTTATTTTAATTCTGTTTGCTTCTAGTAATAATTCCACCTCTTGAATTATCCCTCTGTAAGTCAGCCAAGGGTAACTGCTGTAACCTGTTTTGCTAAACAGTTTGCAGGAGGGTTTTTGATTTCTTTGGTGAAAGTTACTCTGCTTTTATCGATTTTATTACCATCTTTCCAAAGTACATTGGATACATTTTGCACAGGTCATATGTGGTGAGGAACTGTTTTGTTGCATTGTATGGAGGGGAACTGAGAGGTGAGAAAATGAGATGTGCCTCAGCTTGTGTAGGAATCCTTTGGCAGAGCCAGGATTTGGGGCCAAACTTTGCAAGTAGTCTTCAGTTTTCCTGTCAGACCAGCTTACCCTGCTTCCTCAAGCTTTTGACTGCTTGTTTTGTGGCCCATTTTTGTTTTAACTTTGGGGACTTTCTGTTGACCTTTACTTGTGAATCTGCCTGTAATAGGAAAATTCAGGCATTTCTAACCACCCTGAGGGTTAGTGCTGAATATTTGCTATGTCCTTAGCTGTCAGACTGTGGGTTCAGAGCTTCACAGAGACCAAATTCAGAGAGAAATGTGAGCCAAACTGGGGGAATAAGAGGACCAAAAGGTAATTGAGAAGTGTCATCTGCTGTGAGAATGTGAGACACTTGGGAAAGAAGGAGTTGCAGCCCATGCAAGGAAACCTCAGAGCAGATTTGTGCCTTGCTTCTGACTTTCAGATCCGAGAACGATGGGAGCAGAACATGACAGAAGTGCACTTTGGGGACAGATGTTGAGAAAACAGACAGCAAACCTTATGCAGCACTTTCACATCATTCAACATCTGTGAAATAGCACATGAATATTAATAAACTTACAGATTGCTGCGTGAATTGGGACAAGTGGTTCATAGTGCAGTGCTACTGATGGTGGGGGGGAATGTGTGAGAAATATAGTGGGGTTTAACCAGACTTTAAAAGGTTTGGGTGAGGTTTAAACACAACTTAGTCTTGCTTTTACCTGGATTTACTGGTTTTTCTTCGTTAAATGTGGATTTGGCCAGCATCCCCTGTCAGAAGATGGACCAACCTCATGGAGCAGTTGGGTTTCAGCAGTTGTGTATTGATCGACTGTGCTATAGCAGAGAGATTATAGAATTTGCCTAAGGCTCTGCAAGGATTTAACATCAGCTCTTAATTCTCAGTTTTTTGTTCCCTTTGCCACACCACAGATAAAATTCCCAAGGTATTAGAGACAACCTAAGATGAGGATGTTTTCTTTCCATTGGAATTTCTAAAATAGCATTTGCCTTGTACTAAATGGCACAAGGGTAGAGTTTTGATATTTCTGCTGACCAGGAAATAATCAAAGACTTCTTGCAGAGGCAGTTTTGAAATGTTGTCTTCCAAAAGCAAAATAGGTCCTGGAAGCTCTGAGCACAGTACCTAACCTGGGGTTTCAGGGAAGCAGAAAATGAGGGACTGGAGAACTTCCAAACTGGGGAGCCCCAGGATGAGACACAAAGCCTGGCTACTGCCAAGACCCTCATCTTCTCCCACAGCCCCCTGTGGCTTGCATGGCTCCAGCTGTCAGGTGTTCTCCCAACACACAGAACGTGCATCTTGGTGCTCCCGAGCTGCTGAGAAAGCAGTCAGGTTTCCATGGGGATTTCCTTCTTTGAAAGTATGGAATCGGTTAATCTCCAGGAAATGTTTCTGTTACAATAAATCAGCATGTTTTACATGCCCAGAAATATTTCCTTGGAAAAGTCACCATCGGCTGTGTATAGTCCAGCCTGTCTGGGCTTTGATTTGGCTCTGCTTGCATCGTGCTTTTCATCAGAGAAACTGCAAGTATTTTTATTTAACCTTCAGTTGAATGCTGAAAGTAAGAGGCAAAAAGGCAATTCTGCTGATGGTTCACCTGTCCTTCAGGATGGAAGGAGCACCAGCAACTGTTGCTGTGATTGTTTCAAATGACATACGTGGGGCCCATGGGGAGATTATCCAGCTGAAGTTTACACAGTGGGCAGGGAATTATGCTGAGGGAAATACAAACATTATAGTTCCTGCATCTAATTTATGCATTTTCCCTCACCAGCTTTCCCTGGTTTTCAGCTCAATGCTAATGTCCATAAAAACCCAGAAGGTTTTTATATACGTAGAATTTCTGCATGTTATAGCCAGAGAAAAATACATTGAAGTGAATGTTTGCCTTGGGAAATATATTTTTGCCTAATATAACTGATTGTTTTTAATCATATCTGTTATAAGTGTAGCTGGGTGAATTGCAGTCTGGCTCATATGAGATGATAGATCAAAATCAAGTCATTCTCAGCGCAGCATTTGATGCCAGCCTTGAGCTCTGACAGTATGCAAAGGAACAGATATGCTCAATTTTATGCACTTCTTTACTATTTCACGCTGTGTTGTGTAGTATTTTATTTCATGTTGGATTTTGTTCTAGCAAAACTGACTTCAGTTCTCATATGAGACCTGATTCTTCATTGTTTTGGTAATATTTCGGATTCTTAACCAAGCTTGGAAACCGAAAAGCAATTGGAAACAGTTCCTTGATTCAGCAGGGTGCTGTGTTGAAAGATACTCACTTGTTAGACAACCCTTCCTCCCAGTGTTACTTATGGGGTGATGCTGCAGCTTGTTTGTGAAGCTCCAGCTATCACTTCCAGTAGCTTCCATCAGTCCAAACTGGTTTTGCTGTGCTCTTGGTTGTTTGTTTTCATTCAATAACTAGAATTTCAGGTGGAGTGGAGGTTTGGTGGTGCTCTGGTCTGGGGAATTTGTTTCTCTTCATACTGCAACCCAGCTGGCATGGCTTGGTGTTATGTGAAGGACCCAGATATGTCAAGGGGCAGAATTTGGAGACTAAGTGTGCATTTAGTGCTTTTGCTGTGCCTGACAGTCATGCTGCTCCCTTTTTTGACAGATGATCTATACATGTCTGCAATGAAATTCTTATGACGCTGGAGATTATTTTGTGGCCTTGCTGGTCTGATCTGTACTGTAAAATTCACCATCTGTGAAGATAAATTTTGCCCATTATGTTTGGTGAGTTGTCACTAAGCATAGTTTAACTGTAAAGGTAGGTGAAATGGGCTATGTTGCCATGATTAAACTCTTTTATGTGCTACCTAGTTAAAACAAAAATAATAAAAAAAATGAAGGACAGCTTTGAGATTCCAGCAGGACTCCTACATGTTTCAGTTTCACAACGTGCTTCAGCGTCACAATATGCAGGCACTTTTTGTCCTTTGATGCTCTGGAGTATCTCTGTTACCTTCCTCACTGACAAACTTAGATGGAATGCAGTAAATGAGGGAAGATGGAAGTCATGACTGCAGAAGGGGTAACACCAATTTCTGTGCTAATTGCTAAATGGAAGAAGTCTCCTGATACCCATGGAGGAGTTACAAAAGAGACAGGAGAAAACAATTCCTGCTCAACTGGAAGAACAGAAATCTCATCTAATAGCATTGGGAATGGCTTCTATTTCTTCTGTGGTGTTTGTTATTATTTAACTCCATCTTGAGACTCAAAGGGTGCATTTAAAAGAAAAATGGGAGTCAATTTGTACAGCAGAAAAACGTTTAAAGGAATAAATGGACAATTGCCCTTTGGTTATAGGGAAGAAATGAGGACAGTCTTTAGAAATAAACCACGGATTTTTGTCCTGTTTTCCAAGTCTCCCCATTTAAAGCGTCGGCGAGGATGTGCTGGTAATGAAGGCTGAGCACTAACAGCAAATAGTCGAGTCGCAGACAAAAAAGTGGGTTTGTTGGCATTCCTTACACGTCCCTAACACGAATGACCCATCCTTCTTTTCTGCCGGATCAGAATAGAAGTGGAGATTGGAGATATTCCAGGAATATCAGTAAGGGGCTGAAACCAGGTAATGAATCCCCCGGTAGGGAAATGAAAGCGGCTGTGGTCAGGATGTGGTCCTGTGTCTGCAGGGCCCTGCAAAGAAACCTCGCTGTCACTCGGTGCCTAGGCAACCTCAGGGAGAAGGATTATCTGCTCCTCCCTGCCATGGCTCCACACAGTGCAGGGCAAAGATTGCTTTTTGATTTTTGGGATGAACCAGTACAAGGTGTAATGCCTGCCGGTTGACTTCTACTGATTATTCTCATTGGGAAAAATGATATTAAGGATTTGTATTAATAAACATATATCCATATGGAGGGGGTTATGTCTCCTGCTAAGGAGTAAAAATTGCACAGGCCATTAAAACTGACTTACGAGGCTTCTGCGTTAATAATGAAAGATCTGTAGAAGTCTGAGCAGTCGTCTAGAAGGCCAGAAAAAGATCATTAAGAGAATGTCTCCTGCCAATAGCTGCCAAGAGCAAACAAGGGGAAGAAAACAGAAGGTTTTGGATCTGGAAATGCATAGAAAATGAGAGCATACAGACTGTGGGGAATGCAGCCTGGCTGCCTGTGAGGAGGAGGCTCCGTGAGACCTTCTTTGCTTCTAAACCAAGCTGGTAGGAATGGGGAAGCACTGTTACTGGAGATTATTACTGGGAATTATTACTGGCAAGAGAAATAAATGATTAACTGAATCGTCATTTTAGGATGAAAATTCAGCAGAAGTCAAAGTGTTGAGAAAGGAAAAAAATTTACTTCTGAAATCAGAAATGCTGGTTCAGATTTAGAAATAATCACAGAATTAAAGCATTATTGGTGACTTGGGCATATTTGGGTTTTACCCAAAGATTTTAATAAACCCAAGATGACTGTTGAAATTTGTTATTTCTCTTTTTTCTCTCAATATGTATTGAACTA